CTCAATATTTCTGCACCTTGAACGGCTTGTTAATTTTGCCTTTCTCTTGATCCTGCTAGTTTTCTTCCCCCAAATGTACACTATTGCATGGTTTAGCTAGAAAATTAAAACACTTTTACTTATTTTTAGGGAACTGTTGAATCTGTGCTTGCTGGCATGAAGGGAGACAAGGTAAGGACCAGTATACTGTTTTTTTATGTTCTACAGAATTAGCCAAGAAAAAAATCAGACAGGTATGTTATCCCCTCTATTGATGGTCACTAATTGCTCTGTGGGTTTTCCTCCATCTATGGCCCCGATTTAATATTTTTGCATAAACTTAAAAAAAAAAAATTATATTGAAAATATATCAATATATAAAAAAAATTAAGATTTTCCAAAATATGAAATAATTTGAAAAGTTTATCCAAAAATATAAAATCATTTGAAAATCCTATCCAAAATATTAAATTGAGGTCTATATTCATAAATATAATTGCACAATTCATTTATCTCAAATGGACTGTTTTTCCCCAGACTTTTTCTTTACTTTTTATAAATTAATTTGTTAATTTTTTTTTAAAGGGAACACATAAGCATAGCAATATACTCCAGTGTAACCCTTTTCACACCAAAATGTAACATTGTCAGAATTATATAAAAGCACAGTACCATCATAGTTGGTCTTCTTTTTTATTTCATTGTTCTATTTAGGGTGATGCTGGAGACCCCGGAGAGAACGGTGCAAAAGGACCAAAGGGAGAAGCGGGTACAAACGGTCTTCCTGGGGAGCGGGTAGGTTTCAAACAAAAGAAGGTCTGCCCATTATTCAATTCATGGAACACAAGTTAATGATGTGCAACATTATGCAACAGAACAGTATTTAATGCAATTACGATTGTAGTAAGTCTATAGTGCAAGGACACACATATCACACAGTCAGTGATGTCATAACATAATGGAATAACATTATATAAATATCCACAAATATTGTTCCGCTGGTTTTGATTATTTTTCCTCCAGTTGCTGGTTAAGCATCTTGGTTGTCCTCATCCAGAAGTAACAGTGGGGAATTAGGAAATTTAATTAAAAAATATCTATATATCTACATCAAGTATGGGTATATTTACCTCTTCCCTCTTTTTTAATTTATGGGGTACACAAAAATGACCATGCTTCACCTCTTGTTGTGAAGACATTAAAACAGATTGGTTGTTGACAGTGCTATAATTACAATTTTCATTCAGCAAACTGCATTAGCCTTTTTAGAAGTAAAAGTCTAACACGATATATTGTTATATATGAAGATAAACGTGGAGTGTACGCAATGTTGAAAGTACATTTCATTGTTTAAAAATGTATATTTTTTGCAATTTCATGCAGGGCTTGGAAGGACCAAGGGGACCTCCAGGGATTCGGGTAAGTGTCTGTTGATGATTAGGTATATGTTTGTGAGATTCTTTCATTAAAGTTACCTTTCTATGAAATATGATATAACATAAAAGATTGTGTTTATTATAAGATACTTTCTCCTCCATTATTTTTCTAGACGTCCTGAAGAGTTTACATGTCTAGATCCACAAGAGTAACTTTCTTATTACATGTTTAGATGTCCAGGAGAGAAATCTTGCCTTTTAAAGTCTAGCTTTTCACGAGGGTAACCTTGTTAGTATATGTTAAAATCTCCACGAGAGTCACTTTGTTTTTATATATCAAGGATTCCATTACAGTAATCTTATAATTATAGGTCTAGGTCTCCATGACTCTGACTGTTATTTTATGTCTAGGCATTCTTTAGTGTATCTTTGTTAGATTTCTAGGTGTCCATGAGAGTAACACTGCCATGACATGTTTAGGTGCCCATAACAGTATAGCTATGATTTATCTATGTACCTAAATGAGTAACCTTGTTAAAGTATGCATAATTGTCTAGAACTATAGCCTTATAATGTGATGTCTAGGTGTCTATGTGTGTATCCTTATAATGTGATCTTTAGGTGTCTATGTGTGTATCCTTATAATGTGATCTTTAGGTGTCTATGTGTGTATCCTTATAATGTGATGTCTAGGTGTCTATGTGTGTATCCTTATAATGTGATAGGTGTCTATGTGTGTATCCTTATAATGTGATGTCTAGGTGTCTATGTGTGTATCCTTATAATGTGATCTTTAGGTGTCTATGTGTGTATCCTTATAATGTGATGTCTAGGTGTCTATGTGTGTATCCTTATAATGTGATGTCTAGGTGTCTATGTGTGTATCCTTATAATGTGATCTTTAGGTGTCTATGTGTGTATCCTTATAATGTGATGTCTAGGTGTCTATGTGTGTATCCTTATAATGTGATCTTTAGGTGTCTATGTGTGTATCCTTATAATGTGATCTTTAGGTGTCTATGTGTGTATCCTTATAATGTGATGTCTAGGTGTCTATGTGTGTATCCTTATAATGTGATCTTTAGGTGTCTATGTGTGTATCCTTATAATGTGATGTCTAGGTGTCTATGTGTGTATCCTTATAATGTGATGTCTAGGTGTCTATGTGTGTATCCTTATAATGTGATCGTTAGGTGTCTATGTGTGTATCCTTATAATGTGATGTCTAGGTGTCTATGTGTGTATCCTTATAATGTGATGTCTAGGTGTCTATGTGTGTATCCTTATAATGTGATGTCTAAGTGTCTATGTGTGTATCCTTATAATGTGATCTTTAGGTGTCTATGTGTGTATCCTTATAATGTGATCTTTAGGTGTCTATGAGTGTAGCCTTATTATGAGATATTTAGGTTTCTATGTGTGCAACCTTAATGGGATATCTAGGTATCTATGAGGATAAACAAATTTATGAGATGCCTAGAGAAGTGACATTTTCATGACTTGTCAGGATCCACAAGCCTAACAGAACAGAAAAGCTCACCGTGTGGGACAGTCCTTAAATAAATGACATTCGGGCAATCCAGTGCCTTTAAAACATGTAACTCTCTAGATCCACTTCAAACAAATTGAGATCCTCAGTAAGAGTGGCCACATTGCAATGGGTAAAAAGATAGTATTTAATTAAATTAAAATGTGTTTGATGTGTTTTACACAGAATTGGGAATGCTTAACCATAAGCTATAAACTGTTTTGTTTATTTCTTATTTACTAAGCACCCATTTTTATGAGCGAAATGCACCCATTTTATGAGTGGAATGCAAACCTTTTATATGAGAGTAACTTTGTTATGAGTTGTCCATTAGAAAAAAAACACTTTATAAAATGTAAACTTATTATGAGCTGCCCATTAAAAACATGTTATGTTGTCTTCATTCATGATTCACCTGGTTCTTTTATAACTCTGTATCTTCTATTAGGGGGAACCTGGAGATCGTGGGACACCAGGTGAAAAGGTAAGAAGATGTGTTTTACTCTAAAATGTCTTGTAAAATCTTATTGTTGAGGGATGTGAATTACTGTTTATAATGTCTGCTCTAAGTAAAGATTTCCTTTAGATAAAGTTGATTAACCTCTTAAGGACACATGACATGTGCGACATGTCATGATTCCCTTTTATTCCAGAAGTTTGGTCCTTAAGGGGTTAAATATGTAAGAGCATTTATATTGTTTTTTGGAAAAATAAATACACTGTATATTAACATGGAAAATAACAGAATCAAGAAAATGGGAAATATATAAAGTTAAATGTATGAAAAGGTTGTTTAAAAATTGAAACCTAAACAATATCAAGGCAATAAATGTCTATTTGCAGTTGACAGCTGTAAGCTGACAACATCATTTGTATTTCGCCTGTGTTATGACAAATTTTAACAGTTTGTTTCTCTCACACAAAATCAAGCTTCTTTGCTTTGTGTTACAATCAGATGATGCTTGATGATTGGTTCTTATAACCAACAAAATTCAGTATAGCCAAACTACACAAACAAGATCATCCAACCAACTGTGGTCAAATTAAATTAATTAATAAATAAGTTGTTTACAAGCTTTTAAAATTCAAGATTTTTTTCTTTTTGGTCGGTATATTTTCCCAGATATTTACACATTTATTTTATACACCTTTATTTGTTGTTGTTTCATTAAGTTTTCTACTATCCCCTCCCCCACACTCTCAAACGAAAAAATATATATATATTCTTTTTAATGTACACATCTGTTTCTGATTAACTTATGCATATTTTTTCTCCATTGTGGCTAATGTGTCTAAAGTATAATTTTAGATACACTACATTCAATTATGTTGAATGTGTTTTGATAACCATTTCAATTAAAAAGAGGAGTATAAATGTTTCCACCAGAGGAGTTGGAAACATTTTCCAACAAAGCTATTTTACAGTTGAACTATATTGGCCTAAAATGTGACATTTTCTTATGAAATATCAACCATGCTCAGTTTGGTAAATATAACCCTTACTGTCTCTGACCCTCGTCCTGGCATTCTCCATTAGTTATTCCCAATCCCATTCCCCGAATTTCTCCTCTTCTGATCCTTGGTTAATAATCATTCTTCAATTAATTACTCTTTCAATGTTCAATGTAATAACTTGTTTAAGTCACTTAAAAGTACAAATAAGCCCACCCCAATCTTGTGTTTGTTTTATACCCTTGAGAAATTGCTCCTTTTTCCCTTTTATCTTGTCTATCTAAAAATCTTCTTATTTCTGATCTTTATATTTCATATAGCTCCTCAGAATTTACTAGCACATCATGCTATTTTTAATGATTTATGTTTTACTTATTCTTTTTGAACTGGGAAAGGAGTACAGAAAGTAAAGAGAAGCAGGGGTACAACTATAAATCCAAATATACCATTGCAAGCATATCAGATTGTAAAACAGGAAATTCATCAAACATGTAACGAATACATGAGTATTATGTGTCATTAGTCAATTAAGTCTAGTTAAGTTACTTTGGGTCATTACAATACAAGGCCTGTAGGTTCACAATATTTATTATTTTTTTTGTTAATAAATAGGTTTTCAAACACTAATAGTATCCATAATCTCTCTTCTTTCTGAGTAGGTCCGGTCTTAAACGAGGACTCTGCTGCTGTCCTTCATTCCACTGGATCCTGTGCAAATATAATCCAGATTCCCAGTGGCATGAAGTGCATTAGCTGTGCCCATGAACACCTCTTTCCTTGGTTCAGGACCACTAGGGTCATTTAAATGTGAAAAATTTTCTCAGGTCGGTCAACATGTGCTCACCATAGACCTTTAGTGACATTCTATGACTTACCATTTTAGGGAGACCGTGGTACACCTGGAATCGATGGCAGAAATGGCTTGGATGGAAAACCTGGGCAGCCAGGACCAGCGGGGCAGAGAGTAAGTAAAATTAATTAATAAACGTCATATAACCTATACTTAGGAACCTTGCTTGAGTGCAATGAGAATGAGAAAATGATTCCATAACATTGTTGTGATGGGAATGGTTGGAAATGATCTTTTTTGAAAACTTTCAGTTCCTGTTACCAGAGCTGGATACTCAATGCTTCTGAATCTTGAGTCTTTCATACAAAAGAAATTCCACCACAATGCTGTAGTCTTTGTGATTAAACATCTTAATTCTTAACAATAATTTCAGCACTCTTCTTCATCTAGGGAGATTCTGGTAAACCAGGTGATCCCGGAAGAGATGTAAGTATTACATTTGGAATAAGTAGCAGATATAATATAAACTATTTCGTTTGTTGATCTCTGATATTGGTCTGTTTCAGGGTCTACAAGGACTACGAGGAGAACAAGGACCTCCAGGACCAGTCGGGCCACTGGGACCACCAGGCGTACCTGTAAGTTGCTGTTTAAATGTAACATTTATCTTGTACCATTCTGTCAATTTTGAGTATTTGATAAAGATATACTGACTGTGTTTGAATGCCACTAAAATTCCAACTCAATTTAAGGATATCATAAGACAAAGTAAGGATTACTTTATCTTATGGTAAAGCCTGAGGTAACAAAAGTTGATAAAAGACAGCTCCACTGTTAACCTTTGTCCAATCACAGCAGCCAGTGCATGTCACAGCTGTGGGATCCAGGCATGTTCTCACTCATCGTAAGACGCGATCTATAGTGGCATATCCCATGGTCTTGTGGCATCTTCCATAGATCTCAGTGCATGTGTGAGAGTACAGCACTCTCAGATGGCAGATGAAGCATTAGGAGCTGAAGTCAATCATCAGAAGCAGGTTAGGCAGCTGCAGGGGAGAGCTTCAAGTATATGCACTTTCCACTGCACCCTGTGACCGTTGGTCCCTATGCAAAGATCTCACCTCTGAAAGTGACAGGTCTGGTTTAAGAAATCCATATTTAGGTATACTTTCATGCTCTAAGTGTCAACGTTGGACATTGAGTTGCTGGACAAAAAATAATATATATATTTTTTTTTATAGATTACTTACCTCTAATCCAGCAGTAAGACTATATTCTCACTGCAGCTCTGCTATGTCTCCTCACTAGTGATAATTTCCTGGCTTACCCAATGAGTCCTACAGAGAAGCTTTGGAACACAGGGCACATTCACAACATTCTCCACGACCAACCAGCACTGCTTCTAACATAAAAGCCTTGAAACCAGTGAGAAAACTTCACTTTTGCTTTGACTAAGTAATAAAAGCAAGTGAGGAAGGTATCCCTTCCAGCTATTTGGTTAATATACCAAAGGGTTTATAAAAGTGCTTATTTCTCCTGAAAGTAGTACTTTAGTTAAAATAAGCAAAAATTGAAAATGCTGTTATCCATTAAAACACTTCAGCATGCTGAAGTGCTTTACAGTTTTGGAGTATTAAATTCAGTGTAGACATTCAGATTACTGATTTGAAGGTGAGAATTTTAAAAATTTAAATTTGAGCTAGGTCATTTTGGGAAAATTGATTTGTTATTTAATAATTATTTATTTTCATTTTCTTTATAGGGCAAACCTGGGGACGATGGGAAGCCTGGAGTGAATGGGAAAAATGCAAGTATTGTACTTTGATTGTAGCCTAATATTTATAATATGGAAGCTGCCTTAAACAAGACCTTTTAATCAATCTCTTACTGTAACATGTAGGGAGAAGAGGGAACTCCTGGAGAAGATGGAAGAAAGGTAGAGTGACCACGTGTCTGTGTGTCATCAATTTCAAATGAACAGTTGTATATTACAGGCTATCCTTCAATTTATACGAGTATTAAACAGGATAACATAACATTGATAGAGCTGTACTTAATTATGTTTTTAAAATCTATTTTTCCTGAACAACTGTGACAGCATCACTAATGTGAAAATGTCCTCTGCTCAACATTCAGAAAAGGAAGTATTAAATAATTAATAAAAGAAGATTAATGTAAGCCCATGTATTCAATCACCTACATTTGTTTTCATCTCCTATTGAGTCCTATCGAGGGTAAAATACAAGTTTGTTTTTCTTTTTTGTAGCTTACCGACCATTTGATATATGCCAACTTACTTACCATAACACAACCTTTGAAAAAATTAAAAACATACATGATTTCGTATTAATCATTGTTACCCTCATTATAGCCTTTATTTATTTTTTTAATAAGCTTTTAAAATCATTTTTCATATTATCATATCAAAATATATCTTATATAAAATATATCTATTTATAATTTTAAAAAAAATCTAAATATTTTCTGAAATATTAAATCATTTGAAAAGTTTATTCAAACATATTCAATTATTTGAAAAGCTTATCCAAAAATATTGTGGTCTATATATGTTGAAGGTAAATGAACACTGAGAAGATGAACATATCTAAACAAGTTATATATTTTTTAATATTATTTTTTATTTAGGGTGACAAGGGTGAATCTGGATCTCCCGGCAGAGATGTAAGTGTTGCTGGTAGTACATGGTTATAATAGAAGACATTATGATGCCCAATTTGCAGTAGAGGCCCGGGATTCTACTTTAGAACAGATATGTTTTATCTAGTATTGCAAATACCTAATATGTTAGAGGTGGCTGAAGCCTAGTATTTACTATCCTACAACAATTATAGACATATGAAATATATGAAAGAAAGCAGGATATACCGTTGCCAAACTCTTCTTTGGCTTTTAGCAATGTCTAAAATGTAGTCTTAGTTCTGTTTCCTGAAATTTGACACAAAATAAAGTGAGATTTACATTTTTTAGCTTTCGATTCTTATCAAAACAAACAAAAATACAACGGTAAATATGATTGTGTTTGGGCCAGTTTGGAAACTATAAGTCATTTTGTTGGATTGGCAGTTAATTTAATTTGACTTAACTTAATTTAGGGTTATTTTTATTTGTGCCCACATTTCTCCCATCTCATATAATTTCTATGTGCCCCCAAATTCTAATTAATGCCATACTTATATACTTAAAAATAGTTATGTCACTGTTGCTGAGATCACATGTAGTTGTGGTGCCTGTATATGATATAAATGATGATATGATGTAACCTTCTGATGCTGTAACACAATGACATCCCTAAACCCAAGACAGGGTAATATGCAGGCCTGCCTTTTAGGATGTCCAGGATTTGAAGGTCCAATGCAAAGCAAAAGGGTGTCATTGGATGTTCTCTTAGATAAGCCTAAGCATGTCTGAGTTTCTATGCCCAGAGAATGGGGCATTCTTTCACAAGTATCTCAAACATTTGACATAATTAGTTGCTCAGCCTCTTAGCAGTATCTCCAGCCAAGTGTGTAAAACTGCAGAACTAATCATGAATCTTTTTTTTTCTTTTTCTAATACACACCTATCATGATTCCTTACCATGCCAACAGATTAGATTTTTTTTTTGTTTATCACAATAACTAGAGGCACCCTTATGAACCTGCCTCCACTACCCTTAAATCATAGACTGTAAGAGGGTGCCCATCCAAGATTAATGCCATAATAAGTATATGTCTGTCTGCATTTAATGATATGCCTCTCACATAAATGACATAAATTTATCTTTTTGTTTCATAGGGTCGAGATGGTTCCAAGGGAGTTCAGGGAGATATAGGTCCTATTGGTCCACCAGGGCCACCTGGTGTTGCAGGACTTCCAGGACAAATTGGTCCCCCTGGACAGGTATGTGATATCAGAATGCCTCCACATGTGCATAATATTTGTTTTTAAGGGTCTTTGTATTACAGTCCCCTATAGATTATGGCATGGCATCCATATATAATCCCAATTTATATTGTTTCACCAGGGAATACCAGGAATTGCTGGGCCCATGGGACTCAAGGTATGTATTGTTATTTGCTTGATTTATAAACCTGCTTCTGAAACTATTTAGGTGACCTATTTAGGTTTAACTGATGGACCAATTTTCCCTTAATGACTCATAATAAATATGCTACATAACATTTTACAAAATGCTGTTGAAGCAAATCCTTTTGTACTTAGACTTAAATATTATCCTGTACCCTAGTGGTTATTAAAGCTAAAGCATATTAGAAAAGAGAAAAAATTACTATTCACACATTACCAATATATGGTATAATACGCTAGAGAATGTACCAGATGTTGTGATTCTGGCAATTCATCCAGTCACCGTGAGAAACTGCTCTGAAAACCATGAAACCCACCAAATGTACCTATTTGCACTGTGACCCTCAGAATCTGCAGATTGACAGAGATAATTTACCTATTCAATTTGAAAATTTGCCCATTTACCCCAATAACATGCCCAAATCACACAGAGATTCTGGGAACTTGCCCTTTGATACTAAGAAACTAGCCCATCCATCGTGAAAACCTTGGAATTAGACCATTCACCATTAGAGCTTGCCTATTCACCACAAAACCCTGAACAATTAAGTATTCACTCTGATAATCTGCCTATACACACGGAAATACTGATGATCTGCCCATTCTCGTTGTGACCTTGAGGTGCATCTGGATGTTTGCGCCTGTCTGTGTATGCATGTTTGTGCCTGTCTGTGTATGCATTTTTGTGTGTATGTGTAAGAAACTGTGAATGTGTCAAGAGGTGTAGCTCTCAGGTGTTAAAGGGTGATGTTTGGGAGGGTCCAGGGCTGGTGCTTTGGGTAGGGGTCACAAATGATTGTTTGGGCATAAGCGCCTATTTTTTTTATCTTAGCACCGCTCCTGATTTCTGTATGAAAATGCCTAAAATGCCCCAATCCTGTATTTAAAA